TTTTGTACTATAATTTATATAGAAATTTGTTGTGTAATGTGTTGTATATGATATGCATTTCTATATGTCGTACAATTGTATGGTCAGAATTGTGAGCGAATTATATATTTTTACAAATAATTCATATCATAATATCAGTGCAATAGTGATAGAAATAAATATTTTTAACAAATAGCGAAAAAAATAATCAATAATTTTCTGCACACATAGAGATATATACATATAGTGTAAAGCTCTATGTATTGAGAAATTTTGTAATACATTTTTTGCTGATCGAAATTTATGATACATTCTTTCAAGGGATACAACAAAAAATGAAAAGTCATTTATAAAGGCAATAGTATTTTTCACATAATATAAGGATTTATAATCATATATCAGAACACTATTATAGTATGCATAAAAATTATCGCATTTATCAAGTTCAGATTTAATACGAATTCTACATAAATCAATTGTTATATACAATCCAGCTACAGTAGTAAATTACCTTATTCCATGTCTCATGGGAAATAATATTAAAACACATTACATCATCGTACATGTGTATCATGTAGATCAATAACTAAATGTATAACTTGGTGCTGTCCAAATTGTATCCCAGGATATTAGAGTGCAACTGTTAGGGTGGCATTACAAACATTTCAACTAAGTCTCATCTCTTATCATCAAACTTTAAACATACATAGATTTCATTACAAGTAATATTTGATTCAATATTTTAATAAAGTTTGTATAAATGATTTTTGTCTCCATTTTTATGTTAAGTGTTTTAATGAAAGACAAACACGTTTTGATTGAATATTGATTTAATTGTTATATTAATTGTTTGTTTCAGAGTTTTTGTGTTGAAAATGTCCTAAATTTATAGTAAAGACTCTTTTGATAAATTATCTCATTATTTAATAATTGTTTAATAACAAATATATGTTGTATCTAAACCAGCCTTAAATTTGCTTTCCCCCACTTGTTTCCTTCTTTTTGGACAGCAATAGAGTAGTAAACTATTTTTAAAGTGAGGCATAATTGTTTTTTTAACCAAGTGAATTAATCACTATTAACGTTAGTATTATTTATTAATTTCTGATACTCTTAACTAAAAATATATGACTAAAATAGGTAATCCCAACTCATTATAATATAACATGATCTGTGTACATAATAAAACTTTACATAAATTACAAATGTTAAATTATTTAAAATATAAAAACAAATTATATTATTTATTTTCACATTTGGTATGTATATAATTATGGTGAATTAGGGAATTATACTAAATTAGATTTTGAGTTTAATAATTATTGATTATTATTACACTATTATTATGATACAATTGAATTCTATTATTAATTCATTAAAAAAATTACTTTTAAAACAAATTAAATAATAGTATCATTAAGTAATAATAAACTTTTACAATTAAAAGTTATGATTTTGTTCTAATTTTATTATATAATAGCAAATTAATAATAAAAAATTTTGGTATGTCTGGTTGATTATAAAATTAATAGACATAAAATACAATGTATCTATGTACAATAAATATTGATATAAATATCTTTACAATAAATATTTTTATCTATGAGATTTTAAAATATTATGGCTTTAACCATAATTAATTAATTTTAAATAGTATAAATACGGTAATTTTTGCTTTATAAAATAATGAGACTAGTTGTATAGAATATAATAATTCTATTTAATAAAATATATTTCTGTTAATATTTAAAATAAAAATGACAGCAAAATTAGTAATTTTATTAACCGTAATTACAATTGGCCAATGCCTACCAGGTAAATTATTAAACATTTAACTAATTTTTAAAATTAAATTACTATTGTATATTACAGCATCGCAAACATGTAGTGAGAAAATTGACCAAAATATTGCCGATGCCATCGCTAATCACCGTGATCAATTAAGTCCAGTACCTATGAATGATCAGGAGATTGAATACTTCGTGGTAGACGGACTTGTCCCGGTTAAAGGTACCATAATGTAAAATCAATATAAACATGCTTGAATTATTAATTTATTTCCCAAAAAAACACTAGTTAAAGGGCATATGACCGGCGGAACAATCACCGGGCTAGATCAAATAGTGCGATCAGGCGATTGTATCGCAACCGGCGAGAATGGTGAATTTACAGTTAGCTATCAGTTTGGCAACGACGCTGGCATAACCCTACAGCACTCGGTGGAACTTAAATATTTGACCACCACGTTAAATGTGGTGGCTGTGGGCAAAGTGGCCACCGTTGACGCCACGGTAAAAATTGGACCAGATTCCGATGGTAACCTCGTGGTGAAACAAGTGACCGTGCAAGATGATATCGATATTAGTGTCACCATTCCCACGCAGTTTGGTTCTGTTACTGATGAATTACTTAACCTAGCGGCAGATACAATTGGTGCAGCTTGGAAGACTATATTGCCGGCTTCCTTTGTGGAAGGTTTTACTAAAGCTGCTCAGGGTGACTTTACCCCAAGAAATTGACTTAGGTAACTTTAGCAATATAATTTTTTGTTCTATATTATATAAACGTTACTATAGACAATATATAACTAATTTGTAAATCAATATCTATTCAAGAAATTAATACTATAAATTAATTAGTGAATAAATGTAAAGTTGATTTAAAGTAAAGTTGCATTTGTTGTATGTTATTATAAATGCGTTATTTATTATTTGGCCTCAATTCATAGGTATAGTTTTGTCAACTTATAAATTAGCTGAAGTCTATCCAAACGAGATTCAAATTTGTCAGCCCTTTGTCATTAATTATGCCCTTTATATGATTCATATTTATATTAAAGTACAGATACGTTATCAACGACAAATATAAAAGGCATAAATAATGACAAAGGGTTGGCGAATTGCCGGGGTGAGTCACAAAAGTTTGGCTATCTTTGTTATAAATCAATATAACATTATAATCTATGAAATAATAAAATTAATATTATTTGCTAATACACCAAAGTCGCTTATTTTCACATTGTACTATTTCACAAGTTGTCTAAATTCACAGAATATCACTAACCCCATCTTGGGGTATATGTTTTAGTAAGAGTTAATTTCACAGCTCTATAATGTCACTTTCACACATAAATGTAATTCTTTTAACATGGTTTGCATAGGAAACATCTTATATTTTCACATTGTAATGCAAGTAATTTTTCATGATTTTAGGAAAGTTTGTGAATAAAAATTAGTGTAAAACAATGATAGTATATACAGTGTCATCGGCTATTAACGAAGTTTTTAATTTTTTAATTATTCAAAAAGTACAAGAGATATTTTATTCAAATTTTTTGCAAACAATAGATAAAAGTATGGCATTATTGAATCAGCTTTTCAAAATTTTTGCCAACCATGGCGATCACGTGATGGAGCAGACCAAAATCTCCGCGCGGCAATTATGTAATATTTCAGAGGTCGAGATTACGATAAATGAAAACACGTTGAACACACATCCCATACATTCACATAAATAGCTGTGCACATTTTTTCTCATTGGCGATTGATAGTTTACAGATGGCATGAATTTCAAAGATGAAATGACAAGTTTAAGCTGTATATATATTTTTTTGAAAATGGCGCCATCTGTAAATTATTAATTGGAAATGTAAAAAAAATTGCACATCTATTTAAGTGAATGTATGTGCTGTGTGCTCAACGTGTCTCGTTTATCGTAATGCCGATTTCTAAAACTTGAAATAATTGCCCGGGCGGTGGTCAATTTTGAAATTCGGCTCCGTCACGTGATCGCCATGGTTGGTAAAAATTTTGAAATCGTGATTCAATAATGCCACACTTTTATCTATTTTTTGCAAAAAATTGAATAAAATATCTTTTGTACTTTTTGAATAATAAAAAAATTAAAAACTTCGTTAATGGTTGAACACACTGTATTTCTAACAAAATGTGTTACTGCTGGCTTGTAAATCACTCAAATAACTCATTGCCTCTCATTATTTACAATCTATTATGAAAATCATTTTTAGAAACCATGTATATGTATGAGCGGCATGGGAAAAAGGTTTTTATTTTATACAGCATTACTATCAGTATATAAAGAGTCCAAATGCTATGTGCAGTGCATTGTTTTTGAACACAAAAATAATAATTAGTATTATTAAAAACAGTAACAAAATATTAAATATTTAGATTTAATTAATATTAAAAATTGTTTACTATGTTTTATTTAACCATAATTACTAATTAACCATCTTTAATCATATACTGAACCGTACATTTGGTACTATTTATGGTTACTCACTGAAACATAAAAACCTCTTTCCCATGCCGCTCCTACATATTGCAACTGAGATGTGTAGTGACGTCTCGCACTCTCTCGCATACCATACCTTTTATGGTGATGAGAGGGGAGAGACGTCACAACACAGAGACGAGAGATGCGGCGCTCAACCCATCTCTCGTCAGATCGCTGGTGGCACTCTTGAGCGCTGAATGTAAGCCTTGCGTTGTTTTCAATAAATCCTGTTGTTTTCCATCCCGGTGATTATTTATTGACTAAAAAGGTATGTTGATGTCCAGTTTGGGTGTGAGAGGTGTGTGTGTGTGAGTCGGCGACCTCCGGAGTGGACGACCCCTACGGGATGGCCCGTCGGGGGCTCCGTTACAATATGTTACATATAATATGTATAGACAATTGAAAAAAGTGATGCAACATTTCTATCTATAATTTCACATTTTGTAATTTCACACCACAAAAATTATAGTCCCAATTGTGTGAAATTAGACAACTTTCAGTAAACTATGCGTATTAAAATCAGACATTTATTATAATGTAAAGTTTAAAAATAGACTAAATATACAGTAATTTATAAATAACATACCTTAATATAATTTGATGACCGCATTCTAACAGCAAAAAAATGTTATCGCGTAAGTAACATGATAAAATAATAAAATTTCTGTTTACCAAATATTAAAATCACACTAATTTTATTCAATAGTATATTTTATTGCCTTAATTACATTATTAAGGCAAACATATGGCAGCCACATGCTCACCACGTTCAGCGATTAAACCAGCATGTTACTTTGAGACACATGGCGATGCCTGTATAGTTTACTGCACGGGCACCACCATGATCAATTTGATCGACATTTTCCTGGACCTGAGCCACAAACTCGGGAATCAATCAAAACACTTCCCGCAACTCGAGGTCTATAATCAGGCCATCACTGAACTGCCCGCCGGTGTGTTTGCCGACATTCAGTTTGACACAATACATGTGGACAACGCCCGTAGTCTACGACACATACATAAGTATGATTTACCAACTTTAATAATTAAATAAATTAATTAATTATTCATTTAAAATATTGGTCGGCAACGTTTTTTTAGATTAGCCAGATTCAAATTTACAGTGTGCCATAAATAGGTAGCGCACCGGTCGGTATAAAGACAAAGTTTGTCAGTTTAAGCAAGTACCACCACATGAATGTCAACCTAATAGTTTTTCAATTAGTTGTCTATTGTGATTAGCTTTTAGTCTATCCACACAAACGTCATTTTAAATAAGGAATCATAGTAATTTATTTATTAAAACACGTTTTTAATGAGATTTGTAATTATATTTACGATTATCAACAATTTTATTAATATTTAACAGAATAGTATTAGATAATAATATTTTCAAACGTGATCACAATATTTTTGCGCAAATATGATTTGTTTTATTATTTTCAAGCAATTTCATTATATGATAAAACTTCTCACAATTAAAAGTAGATTTAAAATATGCAGGACACATTGTGTCCTCTATGTTAAATATAATTATATTTAATTATAATGTTAAATGTCTGTGAATTATCAATTTAATCAATCTATTATGTATATATTCAATTCATATATTTTAGTGGGCATGTGGCTACACTAAGTATACCTGGTATACCACGTTGCCGACCAATAATTTAAAACATTAATCTCCTTATGAATTGCATTATTTATTAAATTAAAATTGAATGATTGTTGCTAACATATGGCTATTTCTATACATAGGGACGCGTTCTATGGGCCCACACGTGACACAATAACATCAGTACAGATAAGTCATACGCTTATTAGCGACGCTAAAGGATAGTATGACTTGTTTGCTGCCATATGAACGTTGAAAGGGTTGACTAATTTAGAGCTGTGGTAGGCTAAGCTGACCGATGTGCCCGACGCGGCGGTTCAATCACTGCCCAAATTGGCCACAATTTTTATAATGACGAAAGTAGCCGTTGATTTTACATTATATTATATTTTACATCATGTATATTAAATTCTATAGTTGATGTGGTTGAATCAGCCACGATATGCAGGAAGGGTTAAAGTGTAAAATTACATAATAATCATAAATATATGACACTGATAAGCTAAAAAAATTATAAACATTTTTTTGTCAAATGTAATAATCTAGTTTTTATTATAGACATAATTAATTAATTAATTTTTTATAAAAACTAAATACAAGGTTATTTAATTTTAATTAAATTTAAAATGCTATATTTTTTAAACAAATAATTTTATCTAGGTTTACATTGATTTTAAACACAAATATGCTAAATAATGTGGCGCTTTTAGTGAGACCACATTCTCATAATAAATTTTTTTTGTGTAATTCGCTTGAAAATAAAATAAAATTAGACGACAAGATATTATTGGCTAAATATAAGTGTATTATATCATAGTTATATATAATAAAATAGTGTGGTATGTCTGGTTGATTACAAAATTAATATACATAGAAACAATGTAATACTTTTAATGATAGTTATAAAAATTTATGATTTTAATCATAATTAATTTTTTAGAAAATTATATTAATACATTTGCCTTATAATATTGATAACCAATCTAGTATAGCGGCTATACTTATTGTAGCCACATGCCCACTAAAATATATGAATTAAATATATAAAGATTTACATAATAGATTTATTAAATTGACAATTAACAGACATTGAACATTATAATTAAATGCAATTATATTTAACATAACTGACACAACTTGTTTACATATTTTAGATATACTTTTAATTGTTAACAATTTTATCATTAATGAAATTGCTTAAAAATAATACAACAAATTATATTTGCGCAAAGACATTGAGACCAGGTTTAAAAATATGATTATTTAATACTATTAAGTCAAATATTAATAAAATTTATGATAGTCGTAAATATTATCACAAATCTTATTAAAAATGTGATTTAATTAATAAATGTCTGATTCCTTATATAAAATGACTTTTGTGTGGATAGACTGAAAGCTAATCACAACAGACAAATGAATAAGAAACTATTAGGTTAATCTTCACGTGGTATTTTTTGTTTAAACTGACATACCTAAATCTTTTTACCGACCGTTGCGCCACCTATTCATAGCACACTGTGAATGTTAATCTGGCTAATCTAAAAAGAGATTGGTTATCAATACTCGTAACCATAATAATTTTTTAAAAAGAAAATAGTGTAAATACAGCGAACATTGCTTTATAAATTCACGAGACAAGTTTTACATAATATAATAATCATATTTAATTAAATATATTTTTGTTAATTAAAATAAAAATGACATTAAAACTAACAATAATGCTCTATATTATAACGAGTTGCAGTCTTATAAGCACGATATAAGAAACAATGTTAAATAAATATGGACATGTTGGAATTTAATTTTAACGTTGTTCGTGTTTTATATTAAATTATATAATAATCATAAATATTTGGCCTTGATTATTAATCTAGCTTTTATTACTGACATAATTAATAATTAAACTTATCATAAATTACAAATGTTAAATTATTTATAATATCAAAAATAATTATATTATTTAGTTTCACATTTGTTATGTATATAATTATGGTGACTTAAGGAATTATACTAAATTAGATTCTCAGTTTAATAATTATTGATTATAATTGTACTATTATAATTAAATTCTATTATTAATTCACTTGCAATTTATTAATTTCTAAACAAATTAAATAATGATATCATTAAACTTTTACAATTTAAAGTTATGATTATAATCTAATTTTATTATATAATAGCAAATAAGTAATAAAATATTTTGGTATGTCTGGTTGATTATAAAATTAATAGACATAAAATACAATGTATCTATGTACAATAAATATCGATATAAATATCTTTACAATAAATAATTTATCTATTATATTTTAAAAACTTTATGGCCTTAACCACAATTAATTATTTTAAAATGGTATAAATACGGCAAACTTTGCTTTATAAATTAATGAAATTAGTTGTATAGAATATAATAATTACATTTAATTAAATGTATTTCTGTTAAATATTAAAAATGAAAATACTATCAAAACTAGTAATTTTATTAACAGTGATTACAATTGGCCAATGCTTACCAGGTAAATTATTAAACATTTAATTAATTTTTTAAATAACATACTATTATTTATTACAGCATCACAAACATGTAGTGATAAAATTGACCAATCAATTGCGGATGCCATCGCTAATCATGGTGATGAATTAAGTCCATATCCAATGGATGATCAGGAGATTGAATTTGACTTGGTTGATGGACTTGTCCCCGTTAAAGGTACCATAGTGTAAAATAAATATAAACATGCTTGAATTAATAAATTGTTTTTCCAAATACAACACTAGTTAAAGGGTATATGACCGGCGGAACAATCACCGGGCTAGATCAAATAGTGCGATCGGGCGATTGTGTCGTAACCGGCGAAAATGGTGAATTTACAGTTCGCTTTCAGTTTGGCAATGACGCTGGCATCACTCTACAGCACCAGGTGGAACTTAAATATTTAACCACTACGTTAAATGTGGTGGCTGTGGGCAAAGTGGCCACCGTTGACGCCACGCTAGAAATTGGACCAGATTCCGATGGTAACCTCGTGGTCAAGCATGTGACCGTGCAAGATGATATCGATATTCGTGTCACCATTCCCGCGCAGTTTGATTCTGTTACTGATGATTTATTTTACCTAGCGGGACAATTCATTGGTGGAGCTTGGGGGGCTCTAATGCCAGATTCCGTTGCCGCAGCTTCTATTAAAGGTGCTCAGGGTTTACCTATGTAACTTTAGCAATATAATATTTTGTCTACAGTTTACTATAATCATTACTATAAACAATAGATGACTAATATGTAAATCAATATTTATTCAAGAAATTAATATTATAAATTAATTAGTGAATAAATGTAAAGTTGATTCAAAATAAAGTTGCTTTTTTGTATGTTATTATTAATACATTAAGCGTTAAATTAACTCTTAGAGTTTAAACATATATTAACGTAAGTGGTGAGTGTCTCGGATATAAAACCATGAACCTAAGCAAAAGTAAATATGCTCAGTTTTATAGTTAAAGAACATTGTTTTTTAGTATTGAAAACCTTTTTTATGTATTTTGATTTACATCTCATATATAACCCAAACTAAACGTTTAAAAAAAATTCAATTGAATAATAAAGCCATTGTTTTGCTTATTATCAATGACCTCTACCCTCACATTTTGGACGGCGGCGATCGGCCTGAGGCCTAGTCTTGGCCTCCAGTATACGGAGTGCTTGGATTGACGTGGAGTCCAATAAAAGCAGCGAATCGGGAGAAGTACGCCGTGAAGGCCAGTTCATTATACGCGTGTTATCGCACGGAAACAACTTCCGGTTCGGGTGTATCGTTTAGTGCACCGCATTATTCTATAGCTCTGCCATCTGGTGAACGAAGTTTGCCCCAAACGATACACACAAACACGTGATCACCAACTAATCCATTCGAACGACAGATTTTTACATTTTATACTAAGCATTATCTATGTTAAAGGTATAGCCATAGACTTATGCTAGAATCACATGTTAAATTCCCATTGATTTAAGAATCCCATGTTAAAGTATAGCCATAGACTTGCAGAGGCGCTGCCTCTACTCTATTACTCGTATACTCATTACTAGAGTCTCTATTTTTCGGAAACTCCCGAATAAATTTAGTGTATAAAAACATCGGGAATTACATACCGTTAGACATATGGGCTAAAATAGGACCAATATATATAGTTTTTATATTCCCGATTTTTCCCGATTTTCGCATATTTTAA